TGGGATTTTCTATATAGACAATCATGTCGTCTGCAAATAAAAGCACTTTTATTCTTCCTTTCCTTCATCTGAGAATATCTTCATTTCCTCTTCATTCCTGAAGGATATTTTCACTGGATATAGGATTCTGGGTTGACGGTTCTTTTCTTTTAGTACTTAAGAAATGGTGTGCCAGGCTCTTCAGGGAAAGAACAACTATTTCAGTACATTTTAACCTTTGTCACCTTGTCCACTGATGAAATCCTCCTTTGGGTGCTTTCGATTAGGGAACTTGAGTTTCTTGTTTCCTTTCTTTTTTATTAATGGTTCTATTTTCTTAGTCATCACATAGCTACTGTGTTTCACACTAGACAGACTTCCAAAAGGATTTGGGAATCTCTGCTGGCTTTCTGTCTCCTGGAGATATTCTCTCAATTCCTGGTTTTCCCTCAAAGAGGGTTTTCTCTCTTTTCTATTTTTTTTTTTTTTTGTGAGGAAGACCAGCCCTGAGCTAACATCCATGCTAATCTTCCTCTTTTTGCTGAGGAAGATCAGCTCTGAGCTAACATTTATTGCCAATCCTCCTCCTTTTTTTTTTCCCCCAAAGCCCCAGTAGATAGCTGTATGTCATAGTTGCACATCCTTCTAGTTGCTATATGTGGGTCGCGGCCTCAGCATGGCCGGAGAAGCGGTGCGTTGGTGCGCGCCTGGGATCTGAACCCGGGCTGCCAGTAGCAGAGCGCATGCACTTAACTGCTAAGCCACGGGGCCGGCCCTCTCTTTTCTATTTTATTGTGGAATTTCACCAGGACATAAGTTCTATGGCCAAAACTCCAGACATGAAGGGGAAAAGGGAAGTAGATAAATGTCTTATTTTCTGCCCAGGCAAACATTTTATTCTGGGTCACAATCAGCCTTTAAACTAAAGCCTGAAAAAGTCAATAATTCCCTTAATCAACTAGCTGCTTTTGCCCTAAAGAATTGGTTGCTGCTGTAAAAACCATCAATGAAAATGTGGTATGTTAAAAGGCACAACTGTGGAGACAGTAAAAAGATCAGTGATTGCCAGAAGTTCAGGAAGAGGGGGGAAGGAAAAAATACATGAAATACAAGGCATTTTTAGGCGAGTGAAACTATTCCCTGATATTCTAATGGCAGATACATGACATCATGAGTTTTCAAAACCCATAGAACTATACAACACAAAGTGTGAACTCTAATGTAAATGAGGGACTTCAGTTAATAATAATATATCAATATTGGTTGATCAGTCCTAACAAATGTATCACATTAATGCAAGATGTTAATAGTAAGGGGAATTGGGTGGAGGAAGGAGTATATGGAAACTCTGCACTTTCTGTAAACCTAAAACTGCTTTAAAAAATCAAATCTATTAAAAAATGGAAAAAAGAAAGAAAGAAAGGACGGAAGGAAGGAAGGAAGGAAGGAAGAAAGAAAGAAAGAAAGAAATGGTGTGCCACTTTCTTCTGGCTTCCATGATTTTTGATGATAAATTTACTGTCATTCTAATTGTTTTTCCCCAGTAGATAGTGTGCCATTTCTGTTTCACTGCTTGCAAGATTGTTTTCTCTGTCATTAGTTCTCAGAAATTTGACCATGATGTGTCTTGCTGAGTATTTCTTTGGGTTTGTTCAGCTTGAAGTTCATTCTGCTTCTTTAATCTATAGGTTTGTGTCTTGTGTCAAATTTGGGAATTTTTCAGCCATTATTTGAGAACTTTTTCACCCCTGCCTTCTTTCTCTTCTGCTCCCAGGACTCTGACGGTGTGAATGTTAGGTCTTTAATTACAGTCCCTCAGGTCCCTGAGGCTCTGTTCATTTTTGTTCAGTCTGCTGTCTTTCTGTTATGCAGACTGGGTAATTTCTATTGCTCTGTCTTCAAGTTCATTGATATTTCCCTCTGTCTCCTTTATCCTGCTCTTGTGCTCATCCATTAATTTAAAAATTTTTTTCATTATTGTATTTTTCAGTTCTAAAATTTCCATTTGGTTCTTCATTATATCCTCTCTTTTTTTGCTAAGACTTTCTATTTTTTCATTTTTTTCAAGTATATTCTTAAATTTTTATTTATTTATTTATTTTTTCCCCCAAAGCCCCAGTAGATAGTTGTATGTCATAGTTGCACAGCCTTCTAGTTGCTGTATGTGGGACGCGGCCTCAGCATGGCCGGAGAAGCAGCACGTCTGTGCGCGCCCGGGATCCGAACCCGGGCCGCCAGCAGCGGAGCACACGCACCCAACCGCTAAGCCACGGGGCCGGCCCTTCAAGTATATTCTTAATTGCTTGTTTGAGCATTTTTATGACGGCTGCTTTAAAATCTTTGCCAGATAATCCCAATACCTCTGTTATCTCAGTGCTGGCGTCTATTGATTGTCATTGTTCAGTCCATTTGCGATCTTCCTATTTTTGGTGTGATAAGTAATTATGTATTGAAACCCGGACATTTGAGCATTATGTTATGAGACTCTGGATCTTATTTAAAGGTTCTGTTTTAGCTGGATTTTCTGACACTGCTCAAGTGATGTGGGTCATGCCTCATTACTGCCAGGTGAGTGCAGACATCCAGGATCCTCACTGGGCCCCCATTAACCCCTGAGGGGTGAGGTCACATTATCTCTCTGAGATTTAGTTTCCTCGTATGTAGGGTGGGAACTTGCATCACAGGGTCTGGTTGGGGTTGCAGGAGCTAATTCATGAAAAGAGCCCTGGCACATGCTGGGTGCTGGACAAGATACAGCTATTGGAGTTAATATTGTCACCATGATGTCAAAGAGCCCTGATAAACACTCTGCTCTCCATTCACCTTCTGGAAAATGAGAAGGCCTGACCACATGAACTCTGTCTCTACCAAACTAGGATACTAGGAATTAGAAATAATGGCTGTTTAAGGTAGGTATAGAGCACCACCTAGCAGAGGAGAAAGGAAAATTGTCAAAACGTTGCAGCAACGTATTAAGGGTATATATAAGATGTCTCAATTTTAAAAATATGAATATATGTCCACACACACACCAAAAATGCCCCAATACAAGGTGATCCCAAATCTAAGTCTATTTTTCCAAAGGACTGATAAATATTTCCCAGTGAGAAAATGAAAATTTGGCGGAGTTGTCCTGCTTTTATAAACTTTAGAGAAATGAAACATGCACTTATAATATTTAATTTATTTGTTTAGATACAACTACATATTTACGTATGTTATATGAGTAATCGATAAGTTTTTCTCTTTCCCACTTTCACAGCTCAAAAACTTTTTTTTACTCCAACTCTTCACAGGCATCTCCAACATCAGTGTTTTTCTCATCTCCAAGGCAGTTTTTGAGTCTTCTAAGCCAGTTTCCCAGGTTCCAGCACCTTCTCTTCCATCAAGCAGAATGAGAGGCAGGCCTTTTCGAATCTTGACATTCTTGACAAATCACGGTGATCCATTCGTGTGGCATTAGGACATTTAAAAAATGCATCCTGTAGGTGTATGTTTGTGACCTTCACAATGTCAGTGTGAGATTTCTATTCAAAACGATTGTTAAAACACTTGTGTAGGGGCTGGCCTGGTAGCGTAGTGGTTAGGTTCACATGTTCTGTTTTTGCAGCCCAGGGTTCACAGGTTCGAATCCCAGGTGTGGACCCTTGCACCGTTCATCAAGCCATGCTGTGGCAGCGTCCTACATACAAAATGGAGGAAGATGGGCACAGAGGTTAGCTCAGAGCCAATCTTCCTCACCGAAAAAAAAAAACCCACTTGTGTACACCACCACCCATATATGCAAATGTAAGGCCCTCTTTCTAGGAATAATTGCTAAATCTGAGTTCAATGTCTCTGCCACTTGCTCTACTGATTTCATAGGGTCACCTCTTTAGGCCTCCAAAACTCGCATTCATTGAGATATTTTAAGGCCATTGTGTCTTTCCCAAACTGTTCTTTGCTCTTCAAAATCAACCCCTGCGGAAGAAAACTTTTTAAAACTTTCTCTTTCCTACCGGTTCTTGAGGATGAGGAAGCAGCTCACCTAAATACAAGGAATGAAACAACAAATAAAAGTTGTGCTTGCCTTTGCTCTTAAAAAAGGAAGAGCTAGGTCAATCCCAAGCCCCAGGACCCCTCAGGCTCAGCCCAAACCCCCTACCTCCCCGTGTTGAGAAGCCGGTGTATTAAATTAAGAATATGCAGAAAATGACCTGCTGAATGAGGATGCACAACCCACCCACGCGGGGTTAGCGGGGAGCTCCCTCAGTATCTGGGCTCCCACTTTGGGTAAGGGAAAAGCCCAGGGTCATTTTGATTGAAAGCTAAGTTTCAATACACCCACACGAAGGAAATAAAGTCTCAAGATTTATTACTTACAGGTCGCAGAAGATGGAAGGTGGTGGAATGCGCAATGAGCCAGGGAAAGGGCGGTCTGAGGGAGCAGGAGATAGACAGCAGGGTAGCGAGCGCCTACTACTCATAAGGTGGTTGGGGCGGAGGTCACTAACATTTTGCGGGCTCAACTCCAAGTGGTGTTCTAAAAGGTGCTCTGGGAAAAGCAAAGAGGGAACTTATGGCGGGAATCCTAAACTCAAGTCATTGTCTAAACGTCCAGACTCTGGGCGTGAGCAGCGTCGTCATGCTGTAAAATGCCTAGACAGCAACTCAAAATAGTTGTTTTTCTCATCAAATCCCCTCACTCAGGCATCAGCACCTCCCGACCCCAGGGGCAGACGCGGTCGGTTCCAATAGAGGTCGAGGTCTCCTCTCCAGGACGCAGGTAATGGGGCTTAGGGGGAGACCAGCTCCAGGACACTGGGAAATGCCCAGACTGAGAGTCTGTGAGCAATCTCAAGGGGGCGCTTGGCTCCATCCTCCAACCATTTTGCCTGGCAGCCTGAAATCGAAAGAGAAAGTTACAGCTCACCAAACTCGGTTTCCGTTTCCAAACATCAAGAAAGCAGGGAGGAGCTTGCAGGAGAGCTGGCATCTGAGCTTAAGGGAGCCCGGAGAGGGGTGGAAGGTGCTCTCGAGTCCTTCAGCCTGCTGGAGAAACGCCAGCCCCTCAATAGGTGGGCAGAAGCAGAGAGGATTTATTCCGAGAGGCAGCCCGGTCCGGCAGAGATGGAGCCCTCCCAGGACCTGTATGAGACCCCTGCAGACAGGCTGGATGCCTTCGTGGAGCAGAGCCTTCAGCCCCACCCGGAATGGAAGGAAGAAGTGCAGGATGCCTGGCAGAGAAGCGAGCGGTTCTTGAGGAATCATTGCTTCCGGGATGAGCTGGTTGGAGACCAAGAAGTCAGGGTGCTGAAGGTGGTGAAGGTGGGCACATGGGAACGCTGGGGCTTCGAATGGCAGCTCTGATGCTGTGGGACTGTGTGACCTTGGGGGAGGGGTCATTTCATCTCTCCGAGTTTCAATCTCCTCTTTAATCTGTATTCATCATATTTTATAATTATTTGGAATCCAGCTCTCTGAGTGCCAGGGAGGCAGGTGGAATGTGGGTAACAGGTCTCTATACAATTTATGCTTTTGTTTCTTGTTTGAAAAAACTGTCGACCTAAAAATAAAACAGCCAGTCATTTTACAAGCAACATGAGTTATTCGGGAATAGCAAAGGAATTGCAATTCGGGACAAGCCAGTTATAGCAAAAGCCATAGACAAGTCCAGTAAGCAAAGGAGGAGAACTGTTATAGAGAGAAAAAGGAAGAAGTTGGGAGGGGTTGTTTTGAACAAAAGTCCATTGGTGGAAATTGAGAGTTCACGGCAGTGAGGGTTTCTCATTGGCTGAGTTACTGGAGCAATCGATTTCTTGTTGGGGATACAATGTACATCTCTGCCTGTCCGTTCTGTAATTGAAGGTTTCTTCCTGTGGAGGGCTTCTTTCTGTTGATCTCTATGTTGTGCCTGAAGGCTTCCTCTTCTGGCCTCCCAACTCCATTTTAAATGAGGTTTCCGTTTATTAATTTTCACAAAACCTACTTTACCCCCAAAGTCATAAAGATAATCTCCTATATTTTTCTTCTAAAATGATGCTAGATTATATGGTTATATTAGAAACTAGCAATTATTCAATACCAGAGAGTACTTCATGGGTTAAGTGGATTTTTAGGGGCTGACCAAATAATTCATCACCCATTTATAGCATGATTTCTCCTGGGAAAGTACTGAATTGTAATTCAACTTTTAACATATCACCCTAAATCAAAAGTATCTTGACCATAAGTCTAGATTTTGCTAGAATGAAAGACATCTAACATTAACTTAAGTAAATCAGGCTGTACCCCCCCGGGGTGGTAATGGCTGCAGAGGGTAAGACTGAAAAGGATATGCGGCTTTAAAGAATCTTGAAATAGAGAGTTGAAACCAACGATTCAGGTGTTATTAGCAAACCGTGAGCTTCCAAACAGAAATTAAAGAAACTCAAGCTCCTGTAGTTGCTTAAAAAGATAACAGCTTTGCACTTCTGAGCTCTGACTCTTCTACATATCTCAATTTCCTGGAGAAATTTGCAACTCCTGCTTTCTGCTCTAGAGCTGCATCAGTATCTTTGCTTTCAGGACCTAAAATCAAAAAAGAAATCCCCATAAGAACCAGAAATGGGATGCATATTCTCAGAAGGATGGGTTTGAAAGTGCTGAAGTATTTTAATATATGTTCTAAATAAAGCTCTTCTATGGATTTGAATGTGCTGTGTTTCCATTGGAGACATGTCATTTATGTTAACTCCAAATACCCATCTCTTGAAGTTCCCATTCTCACCTTTACAAGTATGTGTCAAGTGGAGACTATTTGTCTGTAGAAGAAGAAAAAGTTATTTTCCCTTCTTCTTGTTCTCTCAATGATCTCTGTTTCCGGAAGTCTCCACATCTCTATAATAACCATCTCCAACTATTTTGAGCAGCCTAGAACAAAGCATTTATGGAGTTAAACATCCTACTTGGATAAACATTGGTAAACAAATAATAGCAAAAAGGACACATGTTCATTACATTTCCGTTTCTATATTAGGAGGAAGAAAGAGGGTACGTACCATTGCACATTGCGCGTAATTCAACATTTCTTTCCTCTCTGCCTTTCTTGACCTTATTAAGCCGTAAATTTTCTGAGATGAATCTAGTTTTCCTGGTTTCATCCATCTATATTGTGGTGCGAATGCTGTATTTTTCTAGATGTACTGATTTCCTACCATGAATGGCTTAGAGAGTCTTCTGGGACCACTAGTAACTTTTGCAAAGACACCCATTGCTGTGCTTGATCACTGCCATCCGCCCATATTCTTCCTTTTTCTACTAATTCTGTTTCCTCAAATCAAGAAATGCCAATGCCCAGCCCAGTGGCGCAAGTGGTTAAGTGCGCGCGCTCTGCTGCGGCGGCCCAGGGTTCGCCGGTTCAGATCCCAGGCGAGCACCGACGCACCGCTTGTCAGGCCATGCTGCAGCGGCGTCCCATATAACGTAGAGGAAGATGGGCACGGATGTTAGCTCAGGGCCAGTCTTCCTCAGAAAAAAGAGGAGGATTGGCATCAGATGTTAGCTCAGGGCTGATCTTCCTCACACACACACAAAAAAAATGCCAATGCCAAACCAACACCAAAATTGATGTTACATAGGAATCTGAGGTCAAAATTGCGTCACGATTTTTTCAATTACATGATTAATACATTTAATCACAAAAATATAGGAAAATACCAACAAATTACAAAATGAATGACCTTACTCAGCATAGATAAGCACTATTAACATTTTAGTATACTATGATTACATTTTATATGTTTATAAATAACTAGAAAACATTTTCTTTCATATATACTCATAAATACATTTATTTTTAAAGAGATTGTAAATTTCTGGTACTGGCCAAGATGGAGTCAGGCTCTTACAAACTCTCTCTCTCACAAATTACAACTAAAACTCTGGGCAGACATGAAAAAGCAAGTGCTTGAGCACTCTGAAAAGTTAACAATAGCAGGCAGGTTGGGGGCTGAAGTCAACCGTTGAATAACAAGCTCTCACAAAGGTGATTGTAGTGGAGCAAACTATTAATACATGCAACAACATGGATGGATATCAAAAGCATTGTGCTGAGTGGAAAAAACAGCCAATTTTGAAAGATCACATACCATATGATTCCATTAACAGAATTCTCGAAATGACAAGATAATAGAGATGGAAAACAGATTTGTGGTTCTTCCAGTGTTCAGGGATGGCGGAGGGGAGAGAAGTGGATGTGACTGTAAAGGAGCTGAGTGAGGAAGTGGAATGGAATAGTTCTGTATCTTGATTTCAGTGGTGATTACAGGAATCCACACGTGATAAAATGGCATAGAACTAAACACATGCATTGTAACGATGTCGATTTCCTGTTTTGGTGTTCTACGATATTCATGTAAGATGTGACCATTGGGAGGAAACTGGGTAGGGGGCACACCAGACTTCTCTAGACTATCTTGACAACTTGCTATGAATCTATAATTATTTCAAAATAAAAATTAGCTTATTGTATGTGGGAGAAAGGAGAAGGGCCAGCCCCCTCCCCCCACCCAGGCTACCCTCAAGTCCCCCTTCTGCAGAGGACGTGTTCATTTTAGTGTCGTTCACCCGGACAAGGAGCAGAGACAGCCCATCAGAACTCCCAGGATTTAGAGGTTGAAGGTAATTTCACAGGTACAGCAACAACCACTGAAATTTAGGTGTCTTTAAAAATGACACTTGCCAGGACCATTTCCTGTCCCAGGAAAGTGGCTGGATTTCTACACTTCGGAGGAAGAGGAAACATTTTCTGCTTCTCTTATTGAGGCTTCTTTTGACCAAATATAACTTGTAGTTTTCTAGTTCAATGTCTGGAATTGCATCAGTGCTAAGTGGGCAAAAAAATGTAAAAAGATCAAAATGCACAGGTGGAGAGGACAAAGCCAGAGGAAGATCATTTGCAAATGGACTAAGGGCAGCCAGGACTTTCCCTCCTCAGACCCCCTCCCAGGACTCCATGATCACTCTACCTAGATTTTATTTATTTATTTTTTTGTGTGTGAGGAAGATCAGCCCTGAGCCAACATCCATGCCAATCCTCATCCATTTTTTGCTGAGGAAGAACGACTCCAAGCCAACATCTATTGCCAAGCCCCTCCTTTCCCCCCCCACCCAAAACCCCAGTAGATAGTTGTATGTCATAGTTGCACATCCGTCTAGTTGCTGTATGTGGGACGCGGCCTCAGCATGGCCAGAGAAGCGGTGTGTCGGTGTGCGCCCAGGATCCGAACCCGGGCCGCCAGCAGCGGAGCCCGCGCACTCAACTGCTAAGCCACGGGGCCGGCCCCTCTACCTAGATTTTAATCCTCCTGGGATCTTTATTCAAGACCTCCGAATTCCCTTTCCTGCTTGTTTTGTATCCAGGGGGAAAGATTTGTGATGCGCCTGTCAAGGCTACAGCTGGGCCTCCTTCCATAAACATTTATGCTACCTCTGAACTAGAATTTCCAGTATCCCTGCACACAGACACACACACACACACACACACACACGTCTAAAAAATATACTTGTGCATACACACACACATGCATACACACACAAAATACATGTACAAAATGTGTACACAAAAGTATGTTTGTCTAGGCCAGAGCTATCCAATAGAACTTTCTACAATGATGGAAATGTTCTATATATGTGTTATCCAACATATCATCACTATCTGTGGGTGGCTATTGAGCATTTGAAATTAGGCTAGTGTGGGCCGGCCCCATGGCTTAGCGGTTAAGTTCGTGGGCTCCGCTACTGGCGGCCAGGGTTCGTATCCGGGTGCGCACCTACGCACCACTTCTCCGGCCATGCTGAGGCGGCGTCCCCCATACAGCAACTAGAAGGATGTGCAACTATGACATACAACTATCTACTGGGGCTTTGGGAGAAAAATAAATAAATAAATAAAATTAAAAAAAAAAAGAAATTAGGCTGGTGTGACTGAAGAATTGAATTTTTAATTTCATTTTACTTTAACTAATTTAAATTTAAATAGCCACATGTGGTTCTTGGCTACCATGTTGGATAGCATAGGTCTAGGCATTGAACATTTGCTGAATAATATATAAGAAGCTGGTAACTGTGGTTGCCTCTGGAGCAGGGGGTTAAGGCCTGGGGTGCAATGGAGTTTTACATTTCATTTATATCCTTTGAATTATTTACCATGTACTTAATTTTTCTAATGAATGAAAAGATGTGGTAAGAGCCACAGCAAAGGCCACCATGTATGATGGAGACCAAGGGCTCCTCTTCGGATCTGTGTAAACAGCCTAACATGGGTGCCTCTGACTTCATTCCTCACTTCAAAATCATGCCTCAGGGGAAGTGAAGCTCAACATTGATGTCCTCCCCAGGGTGGCTCCTCTGGGAAGGGGACGACGCTGAACCACAGCTCCGATGTGGATTTAGTCCTGTTCCTGAACTGCTTCTCCAGCTTCCAAGACCAGGCACAGCTCCGTGGAGTCATCATCAGCCTCATCGAGGACAAATTGACTCACTGTAGCAGGAGCCTGGCCTACAACATCACCCTGGCCCAGCAGAGAGAGACGACCAGGGTCCCCCGCTCCCTGTCCTTCCAGGTCCAGGCCAGGAAGAGCAGTGAAATCATTGGAGTGGATGTGCTCCCCGCTTTCGATGCTCTGAGTAAAGACAGTGATGGGTCAGGTCCAGAGAAACGAGTCAGGGGCCCTTCACCAATCTGGCCTTGGGGGAGGTTTGGGAAAGTAGAAACCAATGGGGAGAGAGTGGTGTTTGCTCTTTTTGGGGGGTATGGGCCTGGAACTATACCTTGAAGATTAAGTTCTTCCATAAATGCCTGTGTTGCCATGTCCCACTGCTGAGAGGAATCCCAGATAATGGATTCCCACCTAACCCAAAGAGAAGATTCTTCTCTGACCCTCTGGGAAACACCAAGGCATGCAAGCCCTTCAAGGTCTTTGGGGTTAGAACTGGATTGGAATCATTTTAAAAGCAGGGCTCTTAATGTCTTCAAATTTTGGATCCAAGACTTACTAATTGTGTGACCTTGGGCAAGCTACCTAACGCCTCCAAGACTCAATGTTCCAACCTGTTAAATGGGATAATAATATCAGGCTGAACCATAGGAAATTGACAATATTTGACAATGTTTGACCCACAAAAAATGGCAATTTCCTATGATTCCACTTAATTTTACCTACCTAATGGAGCTGTTCTGAGGATTCCATGAGCTTAGCCCAGGGCTGACACATGGTAAGTCTTTGGTCAATGCAAGTTATTTAAAATCTATGTGATTTGGGGGGGAGGGGGCTACCAAACTGTTGAGGCCTCCACTTATTTAGTTGTAAAATGGGAAAATAATGCTGTAGTGAGGATTGCATGAGATAAGTTATGCCCACTCTACGCACAGTAGTCCTTTTCCCATCTTCCTCACCTGAAAGGGTGGATTTTCCTGACCAGGTAACTTTCTCTCCCAGGAAATTTTTGCCCGGACTCTAAACCACCACCGGAAATCTATGAAAACTTGATAACCACCTACGGCTGCCCTGGGGAGTTCTCACCAAGCTTTACGGAGTTGCAGAGGCACTTTGTGAAAAGTCGTCCTGCTAAGCTGAAGAGCCTGCTGCGGCTGGTGAAGCACTGGTACCTGAAGGTACGGGGCTGGGTGCCAGGCTGGGAGATGCGGGAACTAGAGGGAGGGCGGGCGCCTCCTAGCATTTTTTTTAAAGAGAAAAAACAGAAACAACCTAACTCTCAGAATGGGGAGCAGGTTCAATAATGTACGTGGAATAGTATAATTGGAAGTTATTTGTAAACTACAGAGCACTGGACAATGTTTTGCATTATTGTTGTGGCCTTTGTCTGTTCTTGCCATATTCTGTTCACTTCTGAAGCCTAATGTCCTGGTCATAGCCTCCTGGTTCCAATGACATATTCGTCAAGGGCAATTAAATGGTTCTTGACGTGCACAAACATGATTTTCCACAGGCTTCAGACCTCAGGCATTTCACCTAATAATAACAACAGCAACAATAATAATTAAGCTACCATTTATTGAGTGTTAATTATGTTCCGTGATCTAGACTAAGTGCCCTGCATATCTTTTCTCATTTAGTCTTTCCAACAGTTCTGTCATGTGCATATTATTCATTAGCCCCACTTTGGAGATGAGAAATGGAGATGAGAAAATAGAGGCTCAAAAGCTAAAGTGGGGCTCAGATTTAAACACAAAAGTGTCTGACTCTAGAATGTGTGCCCTTAATCAATAACACTAAATAATTTTCGTAATCATAGTTCTTTTTGCTGATTATTTGAATATTACATTGGGCTCATTATCAAAAATTCAAGTAATGCAAGAAAAAAGCATAAGAAAGAAGGTAAAATTCACACAAAATCTCTGAGATAAAATCAATAACATTTTTAGGGACTGTTCCTTTGTGCCTCTCTTTATATTTTATAACACACCTCCCGCACAGAGGTTACGTCAGTGGAGTCAGATCATGCATCCTCTTGGTAGTCCCCCCTTTAAAAAAAATACATTTGCTTATTGACTTTTGGACTTGAACTTGTGGGAGTTACCTAATAATGTATTTTGCATATTTTTCCATTGGGTTTTTTATATTTTTCTTATCGGTTGTAAAACCTCTTTGCAAATTGTAGGTATTTACCGTAATTTTTCATGTGTTGCAAATATTTTTACCAATATGTCACTCATCTATCAACTTTAATTATAGTATCTTTGACATAATTAATTCTAATTTTTAAATTTTCTAATTTTTAAGATAAGCAAATATGTCTGACTTTTATAGATTATAGGTTTCCTATCTTACCCACATATATATATGTGGTCTCTTAACTTTTCTTCTAATATATTTAATATGTATTTTAACTCCATTTGTAATTTATTTTGGTATTTGGTGTGACAGTGGGATCATCTTTAATTTCTTCCAAATGGCTAACAAGTTGTGCCAACATCATTTAATGGATTATGCATCTTTTTCCCACTGAACTGAAATACCACTCTTGTCAATTATTAAATTCTTATATCTACTGGGAGCTAATTCTGAGCTATCTGTTCTGTTACACTTGAGTGTTGTTTATTCTGACACCAAAACACATACTGTTTTTGTTACAACTGCCCTTATATGACATGTCTGAAAAGACAAATACCAATATTTTTCTTTTTCATAATTTTCTTGGATTTCCTAGGCATTTATTCCTCTATATGAATCTTAAGATCATTTTATCCCCTTAAAAACACCACTGGGATTCTAATTGAAATTGCAGTAAGTTTCTAAATTAATTTTTGAAGAATTGAAAATTTCGTATTATTAGTCTTTCTCCTTCATCTCTCAGTTTGTTCTGATTTTGTTTTATGTTTTCGGTATGTCTGTGTGTTTTAGTTTTCTTCAATTATGTCCTATATTCACTATATTATATTGCCTCTCCCATTCCAACTGAATAACACAATTGTTGACGACCAGAAGGTCCACAAGAGGCCCCAACTTCCTCTTCTGTTGGAATTTTGATGGCCCCAGGACATAGTTCATCTTGACCCCAAGCTGCTGGGCCCACGTCAGATTTCACAGATATGCCACATAATACAGATGGAAACGAAGTAATACTGGGCCCTGGAAAAAGAGACCTGGAAGTTCCCAATTCCCACGGTAACAATCTCTTATTCTCTCTCTCTTTCTCTCTCTCTTCCCCCCTCCAGTACTTGAAACGTAAATATCGAAAAGCAGCATTGCCCCCAAAATATGCATTGGAGTTACTGACTATCTACGCCTGGGAAATGGGTACAAACGAAAATGAGAATTTCAACCTGGATGAAGGGTTTATAGCTGTGATGAAACTCCTCAGAAATTATGAAGACATCTGCATATATTGGACCAAGTACTATGATTTCAAAAATGAGGTTGTCAGAATCTTTATCAAAAAACAGTTGAAGGAACGCAGGTGAGTGTGTTGGTTGCATTACCTTCAGATGCAAGGTAATAGAAAACCCAACTCATACTGTTTTTAAAATAAAGGGAATTTATTCGCTTTTGTAACTGAGGAGTCCAAAGGTAGATGAAGTTTCAGGTATGGTGTGATCCAGATGTTTGCTATGTCATCAGAGTCTCATCCATGAATTGCTCAGCTCTGCCCTTCCCAAGCTTTTACCTTTGAATTCAGGCTAACTCCTTCATGGCTGCATCAGTTCCAGGCTTCTCATCTGGACTCATACCTTCTAGTACAAGAGGGAGAGCCATTTCACCCTAGCATTCCAAGCAGAATCCCTGAGATTCATTCTGATTGAGCCAGCTTAGGTTACACCTCCAATCCTGAACCAAGAGCTTCAGCTTACAGGGAGGCCTTCCTACACAGAGGTATGCACAATCCCACAGACCTGAGCGACAGAGTCCAGAGTTCTGGGTGTGATGGAGAACCTCCCCCCTCCTCTCTCCCAGGCCTGTTATCCTGGACCCAGCTGATCCCACCAACAACCTGGGAAGGGAAAGGAGGTGGGACCTGGTGGCTAAGGAAGCCATTTACTGCCTGAGGCAGGCTTGCTGCTGGACTGAAGACCCCAGCCAAGGCTGGCATGTACAGGTACAACCCTTCCCCACCCCACAGTCATGACTCAGTGATGACCTCACTTCAACCCCCCATGAATCTTCCCCACTCCTGCCGCAGCACCTATAAGTCCCTAGGACAGGCAACACCTCCCATGGAGATGTCCCAGCCAATGAGGTGTGCATTTCTTCCCCTTCTGATGCATCTGGGCCTCAGTTCTTTCATCTGTATAATGGGCAGGCAATTTCTGCCCTACTCTGTAGCCATTTGACAGATACAGTCAAAGAATCAACTCGTATACAACCATCCTGTGGGGTAACGTTTCCTCTATGATGGGGTTGTTGAAAGCTCAACTTCTTGCTCTTAAAACAAGAGATTTAATAGATGTGTCTAAAAACGATCAGTGAGGAACAAAGGATACCACTCCAGTCAGCAACCCCCAGCACAGGGCCCCCTGCACACAGCTTTTCCCACACGGATCACAGCTGTCCTGGATCTGAACACTACACAGAAATCCAGAGTTCAAAGACCAGGACTCTGCTACGAGCTCACTGAGAAATCTGATTTTCCCAACCTGCTGCTCTCAGAGAAAACTCATCACCAGTCCCACATTCCATTTCCTGCAGGGAAATTCTCAGTCTGGCCCCAGGCGACCCTGCAGCAAGGTAGATAACTAACGCACCAGAGGGACCCACTACTCAGCCAAGTCCCATTGGCTGGAATGTCCAGCAGACTGGGGGCTCCTCGGAGGCAAGATTCACGGAACAGTCTTCCAACTCTTGCCAAGACCCCTCCCCATGATTACTATTATTGTTATTTTATGTTTTGTGAAAAGATAACACACGTTCATAGCAAAAAAAAAAAAAACAAGTCAACCTGTTGAAAAAAAGCACACGATTAAAGTCAGTCTCCCTCCCATCCTGATGCCCGGTCTCTCAGTTCTGCCTCCTCCCTGACATCCACTTGTCAATTTCTTGCATCTCCTTCCGTGGATACGCCACACACACAAGCACGTGCCTGTGTCTGTACATCCTATTTTTTGAGTTTTTACTTTTATTTTCTTAAATTATTAGGTCATTCACTTACTCAAATTATCTCCAAGACAATTCCATATCCACACATATAGACTTAAAAGGCATAACCATATAACATAACGGTTCAAACCAGGATATTTGTGAGCATGAAACGGCATGATGTTAATTATGCCAGGACAAGGGGCATACACCAGGACCGCCCTAGACCAGTGGGAACATCAAGTCATCCTGGATCAATAGCTATATCATAATCCAATGAATAAAAGTACCTTAACTTATGTAATCAGTGCCCTACAGATAGATTTTTAGGATGCTTTCAGACTTTGGCTATTACAGTGAATATCCTTGAACATACGTCCCAGTGCCTGACATACGTTAAATCATTTAACCTACAACAGCCCTATCTATGATGTGACTATGGAGTAGGTGCTAATGTTATCCCCACATGACAGGTGGGGACTCAGAATAGGTCCACATAGGAGGAGTGGTTATTTGGAGAGCTGTTGCCAGTTGTCACTCTGGTTGGGGTGAATCAGAGGAAAGAGGATGACCCAATGGTCCTGGCGTGACCAAATGTTCTGCTTTACCCGGGACAATCTTGGTTTTTGCCTGTTGGCTGAGATAATTATTGACAGCACTTCCTTGTACTTTTAAAAGTATCTCAGTAGGCAATAAATTATATCGTCAGTAGCCAGAAGGGGGAGGATTTTGAGACAACAGACAGCCGTGACAACCAGGCACCCTTATCTGCTCCCCCCTCCCTTCCAGCCAGCAAGGGATGTCCAGGTGATGGTGAAACAGATGCGGCAGGAGTCCTGGACACTCTCAGTGGATCCCTACAACCCCATCTGGAAGATGAAAACAAAGATCAAGAAGACATGTGGCCTCTTCGGGCAGTTGCGTCTCTCCTTCCAGGAGCCAGGAGAAGATCGGCAACTGCTCAGCAGCCGGCGGACCCTGGCAGATTACGGGATCTTCTCTAAAGTGAGCGTCTGGGTGCTGGAGACCTTCTCTCCTGAGATCCAGGTCTTCGTGAAGGACTCCAGCGGCCAGACCAAGACTTATGCCATCGACCCTGATGACACCATCCGTGACTTGAAAGAGAAGATTGAGGAGGCTGGAGGACCTTACGTGGAGAATCAGATACTAAGGTTCCAGGGTCGGAAGCTTTGGAATCATCGCAGCCTCTCAGACCTGCAGATCGAGGACTGTGACACCATCATGCTCGTTAGGAAAGGCCACAGTTCTCCAGGAATGCCATGATCACGCAGTTCATGATGTAGACTTCTCTGGTCCTGTCCTCCCAGCCCACCTCTTTCTACTCAGACCACTGTGCTCCTTCTGAAGCATATGAACCTTCCACTCCCCTGCTTAAAATCCTCCAATGGCTCCTATTACCTACAGAATAACGTTCAAGTTCCTTTGCTTGGCATCAGGGGCCTTGACAATTTAGCCCTTGCTTACCCCTCAATCTCTCCTCACCACTCTCAAAACACACTAGATGTGGTGCCCAAACGCTAGCAATTCCAGAACACTGAATGCCAGGTCATAACTCCATGACGGTGAGTCAACTACCCTTTCCTCACATGTTTTCATCTTTCGACACTCAAACCTCAAGGTCATCGATTCTCAAAGTGTGGACCCCAGATCAGCAGAATCAGCATCACCTGGGAACTTCTTAGAAATGAGAATTCTCAGCAATTATCCCAGACTTACCTGAGTCAGCTTCTCGGGTGGTGGGACTCAGCAATCTGTGTCTTAACAAGCCTTCCAAGTAATTCTGATGCACACTCAAGTTTGAGAACCACTGCTATAAGCCCCATACAGCTGACCAAGTCATCTTCTGCCCCTCCCCTCTCCATACACCCAGCTCAGACTTCTGTGAAAGCACTTGGGACCCTCATTCTGTTCCTTTGTTGGATCATCTGTCTCCCTGGTCTAATAAGACTTGACAAGAATTGTGACAAGAAATGATCTAGAACAGTGCCTGCCTGTTACAAATGCTTGGCATGTGCTTGTTGAATAAATGAATGAACCAAGGAATGGCTTTGAATCCTTCACTATTATCTTCTTGAGGGTCTCAGTCCAATGCCATTTTGGAGACCACATTGTTTGGGATGCCCCCCAGGCCATGTCTCATCCTTTGAAAATGCCCACGCCCACCCTTACAAGTGCCATGCTGGAGTGGTAGACCTATACCATGTTCATACCCAATAGCTTTGCCCCCCTATCCAAACTTAATTGGACCAAAAGTGATCAGCTGACCCAGAGAAGAATCCATCCATTGGTTGTACTTAGCCTATCAGGTTTTGAGTCCTGGGAGGGTGGGACCAGGCACAGGGGTTACATGAGGGTGAATGTCTATGCAGAAATGCAGTCAGAACTGGGCAGCCCAAGTCAGAGCCCCACCCAAGTCCACACATTAGTAAAGAGAGAACCCTCCACACAGATAGTGGAGAAACACATAGCAAGAGACGGAATCAAAAATCCTCAAGAAGCCTCAGGGAGAGAAGCTGCCGGATGTTGTTAGGTCTGCCCCTTTTTCTATCAAATTCCCCCCGTATCGACCTCAACTGAATGAGCAGCCACTCAGTGAGTGAATCAGAGTGAGTTGGATGTCTTTCCTGCCCCAAGAGCCTTGACTAAGATCTGCTTCAGCAGTTCAAGAAAAATTCTTTTTTTCTCTTCCTCAGTAAATTGATAATTCTAATAATCTACATGGCATTTACACCAAAAGTCTCCATAAACATGATGTCATTTGATTCTTATCCTCACAGCTGCCCCAGAAATTAGATAGATGAGTAGAATTAACACCCTCTCCTCCTTTTTACAGATGAGAATACTGAGGCTTAGAGGATAGGGACTGATGTTCAGAGGGCAACTTCTGTGGAAGAGGAACCAGGATAACCTCAGCAGGGACTTCCTGGAACTCTCATACATTGTCTAGAAGGCATGCCTTTCTTTCTTGCTTTCTCTGGGCCTCACCCATAGCCTTCTCCAATCCCTTCAATAATATTGTCCACAGCAAATAACTTCACCCTCTGGCCACAGCTGATTGGACCAGGGATGATCACCTGACCCAGGACAGAATCAATCCATTGGCTGGGCTAAGCCAATCAGATTTTGAGTTCTGGACATTGGGGGCTATATATTTCTGAGTATTTTCTATGTGTCAGGCATAGCACACAGCACTTGGCATCCATTTTATCCTCACAATGAGCTTAGGTTGATAACCACCTTCCCCATTTTGTAGCTGAGGAAACAGAAGCTCATCCAGGTTAAGGGTCTTGATCAAGGTCACATAGCCATTAAGTGGCAGAGCTGACATTAAAGGTCATGTGTGTCTGAGCAGAGACTGTGGTCTTCACTACTATGTGGTGCAGTCTCACTTAGCAGACCTCACTGCCACTTTCTAGCCGTGGGTCTTTGGGCAAGTTTCTCAGTCTCGTTGACCTCAGCTTCCTGGTGTATAGAATGGGAAATGCATGGATTGTCCCACTTATTTCACAAGGTCATTGTCAGGCTCACATGATGAGTGGGAAAGCACTTTATAAACTGTAAAGCTCTGTGCCAACAGGAGCTAACATGGCACAGAAACGATGGATGGCTGGGGGCTAAGATGAGAAGAGGAACTTACAGGAGAGAAACAGCTGCTGTGTGGAAGTGGTAGATCTGGTTTTGTTCTACATTCTAGGACGAGAGATAGGCTTCATCTCAAAAACAAAAAAAAACAAAACAGGCTTTGGCTCAAAAAGAGCACAATTTTGATAAAGGCTATAAAAGAAGCAGATTGGGAAGGGTAGGCCCGGAGGGGATTGGATCCTGAGAACCCAGGAGAGAGGAAAGAGCTTGACATGGTCAAAAACAGACAGAACGGGTTTTGGGGCAGGAGGGCAGGAAGGGAGACTCACTTTAGAAGCCAGTTGCCATCATCCAGGGAGAAGTGATGCTGGTTTGGGCTGGGGATGCAAGAGGAGGTGGAAAGAAGTAGATGGACTCAAGGCCCATCTTGCTGATGGGTAGAATGTGGGATATGAGGGAAGGAGGGAAGTCAAAGCTGTCTCCCAGTTACCTTTAGAGGGTTATTGATGGGGAGCGGTTTTACGGGACACTGCTGGACTACTAGAAACGTTCTATTATCTTGATCTGGATGGTGGTTGCAGGGGCATATGCAAATGCAAAAACTTCATCCTGCCGTACATTTAGTTGTCTCAGATCGGGTTCCCAGGGAAACAGATTACGAGATGGAAATGTCCGTACAGGAAGTTGATTAGGGAGTAGTTCCCAGGAGCAACATCTGGACAGAAGTGAAGGAGCTAGGACTGAATAGAGAGAAAAGCTGAACTGTGATGTAATCACAATAAAGACTTCAGCAAACTCTTTAGGGAGCTCTGGAGCTGTGATGGCCCTCAGAGTTGTCCCCTGCTGAAGCAAGGGACCAGGCCTCTATCCCCCACACCCTACATCAATCGGTCCTTGAATGCAAGCAGCCCCATGGAAGAGAGTGGAATCTTGGGCGAAGCGAGCTCTTTTTGTCTGAGGGCAATGCTCGAGCAGGGACTCAAGTGGGAGTTGTCAGAGCAACACCCTCAGCAGCTGGGAAACGAGAACCTCAGTCCTGAAGGGGGATCTGGGTGGCGCATGACAGTATCCACCACACTTCAGGTCTGAGCACTTTATTGTGTGTAAGTTATACCTCAATAGAATAACCAAGGAAAAAGACTGATGCTCAGATTTCTAGCCACCTCTGGTGGATGGTGTACCCTGTACTTCTTGCTATGCACACTCATCTCATTAGCAATTATGATTTGAGATTTATCTCCCCTATTATAATAATAGTTCACATTTACTGAGCACAAACTGTGTACCACACACTGAATATTTTTTATCCACCATTTCATTGGAGCATCATAGTAGCCCTAGGATGTAGGTACTGTTATTATTCCCATTTACAGGTGGGGAAACTGAGGCACAGATAGTTTAAGTGACTAGTAAGTTAGGATTTGAACCCAGGCACTCTGGCTCCAAAGCCTGTGCTTGCAACCGCTTTGTTATATTGTAAACTCAGAAAGAACGGAGGACTCTGTCTTATTCACCACTCTCCCCAATGCTTAGCATAGGGGCTGACACACAATAGGCACTCAGTTAATGTGCTGACTGAATGGATGAATCTAGTAGGGATTAAGCGGGGTCTTGCACGAGGACTGGAATGACAGAATGTATGTGAAATGCTTCACCCAGTACGTGGCACACAACAAGTACTCAAGAAATGTAGCAGCTACCAGCTGTTATTAGCTCCTTCCCCTACCTCTCCAAGTTCTCCTTCACATCCCAGGGTAGAGGTAGAGGGATTTCTAAAGAGCTGTCTCGGGCCAGCCCTGTGGCTTAGTGGTTAAGTGCGTGCGCTCCGCTACGGGCGGCCCAGGTTCGGATCCCGGGCGCGCACCGATGCACCGCTTCTCCGGCCATCCTGAGGCCGTGTCCCACATACAGCAACTAGAAGGATGTGCAGCTATGACATACAACTATCTACTGGGGCTTTGGGGGATAAAAAAAGGAGGAGGATTGGCAATAGATGTTAGCTCAGAGTCGGTCTTCCTCAGCAAAAAGAGGAGGATTAGCATGGATGTTAGCTCAGGGCTGATCTTCCTCACAAAAAAAAAAAAGAGCTGTCTCCTCTCTGATCCTGGCAGTTCCCTCACTCTTAGTCCTATGCCAGGGCCAAAATGGCAAAAACAGAGAATGCGTGTTGTAGCAGCAATTGCTATCTCCCCCAATATCCTTTCTCCTTTTCCTCCATAGCAACAGAATTTTTAGCTAGGCATATTGTCAAAGGCTAAAGACTACATTTCCCAATCTCCCTTGCAGCTGAGCGTGGCCATATGATTAAGTTATGACCAACGGAGTTCATTTATATTTTATGCATGAATTTGCATGTTCATCCTGGACAACCTTGATTCGTCTATTGAGTTCAGAATCCTCAGGAGTTGTCTCCCTCCTGCTTTATATCCAGGAAAGGGGATGGAGAAAATGTTGTAATGTTAGGCATTTGGTGACATTTTTGTGAAAGTTTCTGTCCTTTGGGTAGGTTTAAGACTGGATGTAGCTTTCTTCCACGGTATGCCAGATATCACCAAGAGAAAACTCCTAAGATCCACAAGCCCAACTGAGCTCTGTCTTGCCCGAATGCAAGGTGAATTATGATGGTGATCAGGGAAGGGTCCCCCTAGTTTGCACACCTTTAAACAAGAGAGTGTTCACAGCTCTGTGGACTTCTGGGGGCCTGTGGGAAACAGGCTGATATGAGGTAACATGAGTTCAGCATTGCTGAGGGAGACCAGGAGGAAACCAATGAATCTGACCCAGTTCCGAGAAGAGACTCAGAGAAGGAAACCCAAGGGTTTTAAGGAGGAAGGACCTTGAACTACCGACGCTTCCATTTCCTCTCCACT